AATATGGACTTAAACTCTATAAATTTAAACAAAAATGTTTGAGACCCCCTTTCTCTTCCACCCCCTTTGACCCCCTTTCCCTCCCATTGGCCAGTTTTTCTTTTCCATATTTTTTATTTTCCTTCTCCTCCAATCACCACCTGCCACGTGTGTGTGGGGGTGGTAGGGGTGGTGATTGGAGGGGATCTCTATCAATGCTCAAATTTAAAAACCAATAAACATTATCATTAAAATGTGTTGGGATGTTCTTTTTCCAATGATAAATATATTTTGAGGGACCTTTTCCTAATTTAGCAAAAAGAATTTAGTGCCCATGAAAAAGAAATTTACTATCATTTATTTTTGTAATAAAATTTTGATTTTGAATAACATTTTTGTTATTTGTAGATCATTATTTTTTCCTTATTTTAACAGCTTGCATGCAACAATTATCTTTACAATACTCAATTACCAATTGCAACAAAGAAAAAAAAAATTTGTTCCAAAAAAAATCTGTTTTGATTTCCAAGCAACCGTCAAGTTGTGGGATATCACCTCTAGAAATGGCCCATGTAATCCACTTTTTTTTATAAGAAGGACTTGTTTTTTTTTTTTTGTTTGTTTTGTTTTTGTTTTCTTAACACAATTCCTTGTGATGATGAGATGCATAAAGGGAAGCACTACAAGTAAAAAAAAAAGGGACTGACCGTTAGTAACTGAAATTTCAAATGTCATCCCGCTTGTTTGATTCGAAACCATCACTTGAGTCCCAATGCTGAATTTGAACATCACACCATCCCATACATTGAATTGAATGGTCTTTTGTCACAACTCAGAATCTTCAAATTAAATTTTGACAGTATGACATTGAGGTGCTGAACAACTGGACAATTATTATTATTATTTTTTCTTTTGTAGTTGGTAGGAGAATATTTATAAATTACAATAAAATTACATTAAATTTTGGTGTGACAAGTTCAATTGGAATCCTTGAACCCCTTAATTAGACATATATAGAATCCATTTGAATCCTTCTAAATCTGTAAATGGAAATGGGTTAGACATAAGTTAAACCCACTTAGGCATAGGGGGTGTTTGGGAAGCCTTGAAAGAGGCTATTTTAGCCTGAAATGGGAAAATAGCCAAAAAGCTTCACCAACCATTGATTTTCAAAAAAAAAAAGAAAAAGAAAAAATAAAGTCAAAAAGCAACGGCTGCTGCAGCAACGCATCCTACATGCAACCAACAGTGTAGGCTGCAGATAAGTTAAATTACGATATTACCCCTGCACAACAATTTTGAAAAAAATAAAGTCAGGGGCAAATTTGTCATTTCAATTTAAATATCATTTCAAACACATTTTTCAATAAAATAATCAACCCAAAAATTTAACCCAACTTCCCAAACACACAAACTAAAATAGCCAAAAAGCTAAAAAACCTACTAAAATAGTCACTTCCCAAACGAGGCCATAGTTTGGAAAGTTGGTTTTGGTAGGTTAGAGGCTAAAATAGTCACGAAAAACAAAATAGGCTATTTTAGTCACAAAAACAAAACATTAAATCCAACCTATAATCATTATACTCCTCTCTCACAAAAAAAATCAAAAAAGTTAAAAAGCCAAAAAATCTTTCCCAAACTAGACTTTTTAACCCCAAATTAAAATAGTCAAAAAATAAAAAAATTAAAAAGCCAACTCACTTTCCATTTAGCCAACTCACTTTCCAAACGGAGGCTTAATTGGGTACCACCACCACTGACATCGCTGATGGCCGTAACAATGTGTTACAACATTATTATTTATTTCAAATAATGACAATAGTTAGCTAAAAATATAAAATAAAATAAGGGTTGATTTGGCATCCCTTATATAATTCATCTTTTTATCTTTTTTTATCACATCATCTCTCTACTTTTTAGTACATCTTTTCGTAAAAATATAAAATATACACTTATTTGAGTTTACCTTTTTCTTTTTCTTTTTTTCTTTTTTTTTTATCAATAGTAATTTCCATTAAATTAAAATTAGCCAAATGACATTTACAAGGAGATCAGTAAGAAACTTATAGCAAATTAAGGAAAAATCCTAATTCAAAAAACAAAGGAAAAAACTTCAAATAAAACACCAAGGTGAAGCTATGCATATATCAAGACATAAAATTCGTACTGTAAACCAGAAGTCGATCATAAAGATTTGTCAATAGAAGAAGTCTGAAATAAATACATAGGCTACATTCATCTATGTGGGTAAGCTACAATCACACTAAAGAAAAAACACAAAATCCCTCATACTCAAAATGCCTAGGTAGTGGTGGTGGCGGATCTGACGATGGAAGGCAGTAGATCTAGTTGAAGGAAGGCGACAGATCCGACGGAGAAGAAGTGAAAGGCGGCAGATTAGGTTTATGGTGGCCGAATAGGATGCAATGACATAGTAGCGACATTGAAGTGAGGCGGAGGAGGAGAGAGAAGGCAGATTCGATGAAGGCCACGGCCGGAGTTAAGGCAAAAATAAGAGAACACCTCAGAAAAGGAGAGAGAATGGTGGAATGACAAAGCTTTCTAAGGGCTAGTTTGGCATGTATTAAATAAGCCAAAAAGTCAAAAAGTCACTATCTTATTTAAGTCACATCATCTTATTTAAATCACATCACCTCTCTAACACATCACATCAAACCCAACCCAAACCCAACCCAAACCCACCAATAAGTCAAAAAGTGCAATTTTTTAAGACATCCCAAACCAACCCTAAGTTATTTGAATAGAAAAGCAAGAAAATGAAAGAGAATAGAGGTAAAAGGAGGAGAGAGAAAGTCGGAGGCTATTGAAACCGCCTTCTCCCACCTCGATTGCCGCACACAGACGAAACCCTAGGGGAAGAAAAGTTTGGAGAGAGAATTTTCCAAGAGTTTACCCTTTGAAAACAAACTTATAAGTTATAATTATACTCTATTATTAAAAAATAAAAATAAAATATATGACAACAAAATATAACATTGAATTAAGCTCTTTTTTTCTTTTAAAAAAAAAAAACTGCAACAATGTAGTATTATTATTTCCAATAGAATAAACGTAGTATTATTTACCTTATTTGGTTCTAATTTTTTGAATTTAATTTTATGAAAACTGAATTTTATTGTTTTTAGTGAATTTTTTTTACTATTTAAGTAATTTTTTTACTTTTTAGATACACTTAACATAAATACAATTAAAAAGTATAATATTTGTAATTTTTTTTTAAATCACTAAATACCAAAAATACACAAAAAAAAAAAAATTCTACACATTTTGTATTTTTTTTGTGTATTTATTGATTTTTCAAATATATATTTTTTACAAATATTTTACTTTTAGGTACTTCTATGTTAGGTCAATCTAAAAAGTAAACAAATTACTTACCCATTAAAAATAAAAAACTCAATTTTCATAAAATTGAATTATGAAAATTGGATGAAAATTTAGGTTGTGTTTGGTTGTGTTTCCAAACAATGACCCATATTCAAATATGATGTTTGGTTGGAATTCTCAAATTACATTTCCACAACTCTGCTGAAAACTCTGTCTGGGGCGCGTTTTTCAAATTTTTTTTTTTTCAAATTTGGTTTAACCGGTTGTCCCACCGGTCGTCCGGCCGGTTGACTGAAACAGTGAATTTTTTTTTTTTTTACAATTGACATATGTTAATTTTTATATATTCGGAAAAAATATTTTCCGAATGTTTTAAAATTTTTTATATGCTTTAATAGAATTTTGATTTGTATGTTTCATTATGAGTTGTAAGTTTTTGTATCAAATATTATATGTCGCATCAAAAATTTCTCACTCAATTCAAAACTCTTTTACCAAAATTTTTTTTCACACTTAAATCATAATTCCAAAACTCACAAACTCAAAATACAACTGATACTCTCAAATCATATTTACAAAGTTCTACCAAACGCAACCTTACTTTTTCCTCAATTGTTTACATGAAAATGCATGGCGTTCTGAACAATCATGTCTAAATTTATTGAGCCTATCACCACTATCATCATCTCTGATACCATTCCACCACCAACTTACCATTACCATTACCATCACCACTATCTAATGGGAAAAAAATTCCAATAAAGTAAATAGGTTAGTTGGGGTCATTTGTTCAACCTTAATGTAATTCAATCGACCTGTTTAAATTCATTATCAATTAGGTGTATATGAGTTGAATTTCCGTAATGTATATCCGCTTTAACCTGTCTGAATTTGATCATTTGCCACCTTAAATTAAACTAAACATTCAACTATGTAAGAAAGTACAACAACATATACGACAAGCCCAACTCTAATTATAACAACATAAAAGAGATTGTTATAATGAGAAAGAAATAATTAAAGAAAAAAATAAAAAACACATACAAATAAGCTAAACTCCAACTACATACATTGGACTTGTGAGCATAACTTTTTTCAAGTTGAAAATTAATAATTAGCAAATAAAATCTAAAAGCATTTATCTTTCAACTTTTAAATAATCAATTATTTTCAATGCATCATAAATTATAAGGAGACGTTTCTCCAAATAAAAAAAAATTATAACTAAAATATAATCCATAGTGTAAGGAAGAGCAAGAAATAGACAAGTATAAACACACTTGGCAATGAGTTGAAATTCTTAGGCCAAGTTTGGGAAGACTAAATAAGTGTACTTTTTGTCTTTTTGGACTAAAAAATTGAGGTTGAAAATATGAATGTTTGGGTTAACTTTTTGACTTTTTATTAAAAAATGTGCTAAAATATAATCCATAGTGTAAGGAAGAGCAAGAAATAGACAAGTACAAATAAACACACTTGGCAATGAGTTGAAATTCTTACTATTAATTTTAAAATTATTTACCAAATAATTTTGTGGGCTTGCATTATTTGCTAAATAATAAATCAGTGGAGCAGCTGTCAATGCACGTGACAAGCACGGGAGCTCTAACACCATTCGCTTCGCACGTGACACTCCTCCGTTATTTGAATTTGGACCTGAGCGCCTTCACTTCAATTAAATTTTAGATCGTTGGTATCACACCCCTCTCTCTCCTTTCGTTTCGAAAACACACAGCCCTATCTTTCTCTCTCTACCGTTCCTCTCGCATCCCCACAGGTAATTTCAAATCACATTCTCTCATTCAATCTCTAATATGTATATATATATATATATATAATTCGTTTTCCTCAGATCGATCACAACATGAATATACATAGATATTTAGATTTATGTTGATTGATATTGTTAAGTTTACGTATCTGATAACTTGTTTATGTTTTTTGTTTTTTGGTTTGATTTAACGAGCAAAATGGTGTATTGAACCCTAATACAGAAATAGTAGTTGTTGATTAAATTCAAACCTAACTTTGCAGAATCTAGTGATTTGCACCTTAATTTTGCTGATTTGTATTTTTTTTTTGTTTCAATTAAATTAGGGTTTTGTGTTGCGATTTGTTTTGAGGATATGGATAATTCCGAGACCAAGGATTGCGTGAGAGTGGCAGTTAACATCAGACCTCTGGTGACCTCAGAGCTTCTGGTTGGCTGCACAGACTGCATTGCCGTTGTTCCCGGAGAACCACAGGTGTGGTATTGCAATCTTCTTAACCTCATAAATGTCTCACCAATGAGTTGTTTAAATTTTATGATATTACAAGTTTAGATTTTGATTTTTTGGGTTTTTGACTGAGTGCACAAACAGGTTCAAATTGGATCACATGTATTTACATTCGACTATGTCTTCGGCAGCACTGGATACCCGTGTTATCGGATTTTTGATGAAAGCGTTGCTCCCATTGTCGATGCCCTTTTTCATGGTTATAATGGCACTGTGCTAGCATATGGCCAGGTTTACACCTAAATGCTATTTTGTTATGGAGACATAATTACTGGCTTGTTTTTGTATGATTCAATTAAATCCAAGAATATTAACTCCATAATTTGGTTGGATGAAGTGAGTCAGGTGGTGGAAATTGCATTCCCCAAATTTTGGTTTCACAAACATTGTCTTTTCTGATTCATTATTTGTTTATATTGTGAGTTGGGTTTTTTTGCTAAATAAAGTATGAGCTCACTAAGTTTTATGTGGTTATGTAAGACTGGATCGGGAAAAACATACACAATGGGGACAAACTACAATGGAGAAGAACGTAATGGTGGAATTATTCCTAAAGTGATGGAAACTATATTCTCCAGAGTAGAGGCAACTAAGGACTCAACTGAATTTCTAATTAGAGTATCTTTTATTGAGGTATCTATGCAAACTACATTCTGTTTGATTTTATTATACTGTTTTGTTCATTCCTTCTGATAAGGATGTTGACTTGCGTCCCAATGAATTTGTGCTATTGCAGATATTTAAGGAAGAGGTATTTGATCTACTGGATCAAAGCCCACCGGCTCTTTCCCGAGGAGATGGGGTGTCTCTAGCAAAGCCTGCTGGTGGACCTGCAAGAGTTCCTATCCAAATCAGAGAAACTACAAATGGGGGAATAACACTTGCTGGTGTGACGGAGGCAGAGGTCAGGACAAAAGAAGAAATGGCTTCATTTCTATTGCGTGGTTCATTAGCTCGTGCTACTGGGAGCACTAACATGAATAGCCAATCAAGGTATGTAGTTTGTAGAATGTACATATCACAACTGGTTGGATGCAAATGTAGCTCTATTCTTTAGCTATTTTGTGGTGTATCTGTTATTGTTCCGTGTCATTTTTCAGTTCATTTAGTTCTCATGTACACATGTTTAGCATAGAAAGAAAGCATCTTTTTGGTCATGTGCTGCATTTATATCGTTTGAAAAAATTGTTGGCTTATAGGGTTATTTTGCTAGTGCCTTTTTTTTAATAGCACCAATATTAAATACAATTAATCTTCTCTCTCATATTTCTTTTTTTTTCCCATTTGACACAATTGCTTATAGCAATGTTTCATATTGAACTGGTTAATCAAGCATTGGCTGTAAAATTAGTATATACTTTTCTGATTAGGATTCAGCTTATTTTATATTGTTCATTTTTCTATTTGACAGATTGAACTGACTACTTCCCTTTTTTTTGGTTTTTTAATTACTCTAAATGAAAAACTTGTATGTGTCGTGGAGACTCGAGAAGTAATGAAAACAAATAATCCGTAATGTATTAGTACTTAATGTTGCTGTAACATGAGGTGATTGCACTTGCCTGAAGCACTAAAGAATGTTGAGCCTTGTTGACTTGCTTTTTGTCAAAAGGATAAACTTACATCACATAGGATTTTTACATATTTAGAAAAATAATAAAATATGAAGTGATATTTCAGATTGTTTGATGTTTGGTAAGTAATAACCAACAAGATACAATTTTAACAGAATACAATTTAATTCGAAAGATTACGTTAGATTAGATATTTTTTTGCGTGGATCTTATTTTGTCAAAACCTTCAATATTGATACCAAAAGAACCTTCTTGCTTTTTGCTCATTCTTGGAAACGTATGCAAAAATTAACATCTTCAAATATCAGTTTGTCTTTACTATTATTTTTGCTTATACTTTTACATATTCTTTCTATGTTTCTTTAGATAATGTGTTTCCTTTTGCGTTTGAATTCCAACGAAAGAACACATACTTTTATCTGTAGGATTTGTCTTCTTGAGATGGTATTAGTTTGCGCAAGTTTTCACCTACATTTGCATAATGTTTCAGTCGCTCACATGCTATATTTACAATATCAATGGAACAAAAGAAAAATACTTCTTGTCCAACTGGGGCTACTCAAGATGATGGTGGTGATGATATTCTGTCTGCAAAACTGCATTTAGTGGACCTTGCTGGTTCTGAACGGGCGAAGCGAACAGGAGCAGATGGGATGCGTTTCCGTGAAGGTAGTCGAAATTTGTGATTTTTGAAACTTCTATTAGATTAGGTAATCAAATTTGGTACAACAGGCTTAAATTAGGGATGTGTTGGTAGCAAGATAGACAACTTCAAATCTGTTGTTTTGGCTGCAAAATTTGATAAAAAGCATTTAATTAATTTTGTTCTTGTTTTTTTTGAATTGGATAACTTAGGAAGTTTTATTTTTTGGTTTACATGGACAAGGTATTCATATCAATAAGGGACTGCTGGCCCTTGGTAACGTGATTAGTGCATTGGGAGATGAGAAGAAGCGAAAAGAAGGAGGTCATGTTCCATATCGTGATAGCAAGTTAACACGCCTCTTACAGGCAAGTAATCAATTTTCCTTTTATGTCTATACATCTAGAGAAACTATTCTACAAAATTGTCATTTTTTGAATTTTATTGATCTTGTCTATGGTTTTAAATTACCTGCTCAACAATATTAAACTGATGAATCAGAATTACCACTTCAATACTTCCAGAATTGACAATGAGAATGTCTTTAGCATGCTGACGTTGAAGTAGTATATAGGAAAGAAACATAATGGGGACAATGTAAATCTGATTTGTACTTGGCTTGTAGTGAGCTCTAACTTTTCACAATGGTAAAAGTATAAATTAGTTTGTTCCTTTTCCTCATTTATTATTGAAACGTTACCAATAATAGATCAAATGAGTTTGTTTCTTTTCCTCATTTAAATTGTTACCAATAATTTAATGCATAGATCCCAAGATTTTTGCAATATCATTTGAAGTGTATCAGTAATATAATGCACACTTCCTACAATTTTATACATAGTAATCAAAGTTATTTCATTTTAAGCACAAAAAAATGCAAATGACAAATGCATGGTTGTATCATATTATTAGGATAAAAGCTAGTGTTTGTATTTGTCAAGGGCATTAATATCTAAGGAAGTTGGAAGTAAGAGCAGAAGCAAATTTAGACTGGAGAAATGTACTTTATTATCAAAGCAAATTTAGTTTGGAGAAACATACTTTATTGTCATTCTTCTTCTTGTATCCCTAATTATGGTTGGAGACCGTAATGTGAAAATTTAAATTTGATTATATGGTTTTTCTTATATGCTTTCATTAGACATGCCTTGCAAATTGATCCCAGATAGTCTCTAGTTCATTTTTGGCTGTTGAGCAAAGTTATTGTTCATTTGATTGCTGCTTTACTTCATTCAAGTAATGAAAATATGTGTGACTAATCTGGCATGTGATATTCTAGGATTCCCTTGGACGAAACAGAAAAACAGTTATGATAGGTACACTTATCATATATTTTGTGTTTATGTTTTAGTTAGTAATGAACTTAAATTACCTAAGATATCTTATACTTTTGCTTTCTAATGCCCCAGTGTCCTTTTTCTTTTTCCCTGTTTACAAATGTAGCTTGTGTAAGTCCAGCAGACACAAATGCAGAGGAGACCCTAAACACTTTGAAGTATGCAAATCGTGCTCGCAACATTCAAAACAAAGCGATTGTTAGTTTTCTTATCTAACACTATTTTACTATTTTTGTGTGCTATGCTTTTAGCTATGTCTAATTTTGTTTCTGTTTTTAGATCAACCGTGACCCAATGGCAGCTCAAATGCAAAGAATGCGAAGTCAAATTGAACAATTGCAGGCTGAGCTTCTTTTCTTTCGTGGAGACTCGGGTGCATCATTTGAGGAACTTGAGGTATAGCACAGAATTTTCACTTTTTCAGAATGTGCTCCTTGGTTTGTGGGCTTTGAATGTAAATTTTTCTTTCTATTTTCCAGATTCTCAAGCACAAGATCTCTTTGCTTGAAGCAAGCAATGCAGAGCTACGGGTGGAACTTCAAGAACGTCGAATTGCTTGTGAACATCTCACACAACGCGCTCTAGATGCTCAGGTTTGTTTCATTTAGTAGTTATACACTATTTGACTAACTTCTTAATATTTTTGCACTTTTAAATACTTATTATCAGATGTATGTGTGGAATAAATATTACAGGTTGAAAAAGATAAATTGGTTATGAAAATTGAATCAGCTCGAAATGGTAAATCTTGGGATGAGATTGACTCTAATTCAGATCAGGTATGAGTGAGTTTTTTGTGATTGGAATCACGATATATATTATTGCAGTATCCTGAGAGCTAAAATGTTTTTTTCCCCTTCAGGATTTTGATTTGGTGAAGACTTACGTGTCAAAAATTCAAGAACTAGAAGGACAACTGTTGCGCTTGCAAAATTTAAATAGTTCAAAAGAATCAAAACATAGTGTATTTGTTGTTGATTGTCTTGAGTTGGATGATAATGGGCTTCACTCAAAAAATTCATATTCCACAAGTATTCACGAGCTTTCATCTGGATCTGATATAAAAGATGTCAACATAAATGGTAAGCTACAATAATTTGTTTTACAATGCATACATCGCTCTTTGTCATGGCCAATTCTTAATGCCCTTTGTTGTTGGATTCTGGCCCAGGATTAGAACTGAAATGTTCCATCTTGGTGCTTATATTGTATTAAGGCAATTGAGTCTGTCGAATGCTTTCTGGTTAAAGATTTTATGCCTGATGGGACATGTGTAGGTGAGGTTGAAGACGAGGTGAAAGAGCTAGAACATTCTTCTCTTCAAGAAACATTAGATAGGGAGCTCAAAGAATTGGACAAAAAGCTTGAACAAAAGGAGGTAAGCCCTTGTTCATGAAGAAATTTATTAGCCGCTTGCATATCTTGGTAGCTTCCGATCGTGGAGCCTATTACTTAATCTATTTCATGATGGAGATCTTAATCTGCTGCAGCTGGTTCCGTGTTTTTTAGAAGAATGTTGGTCCTCTTTACAAGATATGACCGATGAATATAATATATATGCCTGTGTGTGTATATATATATGCAGAGAGGGCCAAATTATTCATCCTTATTAACCTAACTATGAACCTATCTTGATTGCTTGGTTCATATATGTATTATTTTTATTGTGTTAAGGCACTTTAATTGTCCTTCCTGCTAGATGTGGTGGTGGAAACCAAAAGAGGCGAGATTAGTTTAGGAATGTGAAATATGCGAAATCCGGATGGGGTATTTTGCTTGTTTTCTTGTCTATCTTTGTTGCTTTGGGGGACAAATTAGAAATCTTGTAGAATGGTGAAGGCCATTCACCTGATACCAGGTGATGTGGAAATAAATATAGAACATGAATGATATCTTCTGTTAGAATTTCCCATCTTTACCTTCACCTACTCCACTACACACTCCACTTCACCTACCTCTACTCCACTACACACTCCACTTCACCTAACCCACTATCACCTCCACTACACCTACTATCACATTACCTTCACCTACTCCACTAGAATGGTGAAGGCCATTCACCTGATACCAGGTGATGTGGAAATAAATATAGAACATGAATGATATCTTCTTATAAAAGCAATGCCATAATTGAGCCATGACTTCGCCTGCGGTCCTATCGTACTCTTTACACATTAAGCTTGATGAAGACAGAAAGACTTTTAATATGATGCTTTGGGGTTGTAAATTGTAATCACTATTTGTTAATCTACTAGGGTGTTACTTCCTTTTTTCTTCTTCATGCTGTGGTCCCTTTTGTTTGCTCAGTAACCCCTTTCTTTTGTGAAGGCTGAAATGAAGCGATTTGCAAGTACTGATACCTCAGTTCTTAAGCAACATTATGAGAAGAAAGTTCACGAATTGGAACATGAGAAGAGGACTCTGCAGGTTAGTTTTCAAATAATAGTGACTATGCTCGATGGACGTCATTGTTCTTCAGTAGTTTTCTCATTACTCTAGTCAATTGGCAGAAAGAGATTGAACAACTGAGGCACAATCTTCAAAATATTTCATCTGGTTCTGACGAAAATACTCAAAAGCTGAAGGAGGATTATCTTCATAAGTTGAATGTCCTTGAAGCACAGGTGAACTCCATTTTGTTGGCTCATTGTATCTTTGATTACTTGTGAATCTATATTTTGTTTGCTCATCTTATCACTATTACTTGCTTTATAACAAATTTTCCTTTGCAGGTTGCAGAGTTGAAGAAGAAACAAGATGCTCAAGCTCAACTCCTGAGACAGAAACAGAAAAGTGATGAGGCAGCAAAACGACTGCAGGATGAGATTCATAGAATAAAGACCCAAAAGGTAACCATTTCATGGTATCCGAGACCTGTGTACATGGAAGCATTTTGTGTATGCTCACACTGTTAATGCAATCGTGCATTTTCTAGGTTCAACTACAACAAAAAATAAAGCAAGAATCTGAGCAATTTAGATTGTGGAAAGCATCACGGGAAAAAGAAGTTCTTCAGGTATATTTGTTATTTTGAGTGTTCCCCATGTTACCACTCTGGTTTAATATAATACTTTTCGGAATAATGTTCTTAAAGTATGCCTACTAAATAATTAGCCAAATGCATATTTATATTTACACCTTGCACATATCATGAATTAATTGTGGGAAGTCAATAGTACTTCAGAAGCACAGTGGGATGATCAATTTGGGCATGTGGATATATCAAGATTTGCCATGTTCTGTGCTTCAGGTGACCTGTATGTGGCGTAAAATAATTTGCATAAGAGACTGTAAATCCTCCGTGGATTTTGCGAATACCAAGACATATTGTGTAATATAAAAAATGTCTTTGCATAACTAACATGTAAAATTGTTTGAGTACTATAGTGAAAGTTGAAAAAATTATTGGGTGCTTTGATAAGATTTTCTTTGATGGCTTGGAGATATATCTCTTCAAATATCTCCTGGCCTTTTTCCCTGCATAAATTTTATTTATTAATTTATTTATTTTTTGGAGTTACTGGTTTGTTTTTGGTTTTTGTGCTGCTTGTTTTATATCAATTTATGTTTTTGTTCCCGTACTAACTTCCTTTGAAATGCATTTCATTTATCAAACAGCTTAAGAAAGAGGGAAGAAGGAATGAGTATGAAATGCACAAGCTACTAGCTTTGAACCAGAGGCAAAAGATGGTAACTTCACATTAGGCTAAGATTCTATATTCTTCGTAGTGTAAAAAGATTATCCTTCCAAATCTCTCCTTTTTGTTTCAGGTTTTGCAACGAAAGACAGAAGAAGCTGCTATGGCTACAAAACGACTAAAAGAGCTGTTAGAAGCTCGAAAAGTTTCATCACGTGGTGAGGATATTTCTGATTCTCGCTGTTCTTGTTTGTTCTGTCTATCTGTAATTTGTTGACATCTTTTGTCCTTTACTCAGATGCTGGAAATGGCAATGGTCCTGGAATTCAGGTAATCTATACTAAGCCACAAGGTTCAATTCTGTGTGTGCCTGTATATGTTGATGAGTGTATTATGATGCACATTTTATAACATGTGATTTCGGTGTGCTTTTGATGAGGTTTGAGGTGGAAGTTGCTTGTAGATTGTCATTATTTGGTCCTAATTATGACCTTTCTGTTGAGAAGGCATTGATGCAGGCAATTGAGCATGAACTTGAAGTCACGGTGCGGGTGCATGAAGTACGTTCAGAATATGAGCGGCAAATAGAAGAGTAAGTTACATTATTTATTCTTTTATTGAAGAATCAAATATATAATTTTCAGTTGTTGAGCATTACAAATATACTGAAGCTTCAGTCCTTGGTTTGAATCAACTTGGGTTTAGTTTCAGAGTTCTAGATAATTCAGGTGCATTTGTTTTTGGCTTGTTTAGTCATCCTCATATTTGTATTGTTTTAATCTAACACTTAGTGGTAACATTTTTTTTCTGCTTTATAATGATGATGAGATTCATACAAAACTGATTTCCAAAACACTTTCGAGTTCTTTTCGAGTCCCAGTTGGGACATGGGCAGAATCAAAGGCTCATATTAGTGTTTTTGCTATTCAAATTGATTGATGTAATTTGCTTTGGGTTTCTAGGAGGTCTAAAATGGCCAAGGAAGTGGCAGAGCTGAAGGAAGAAGCACAAAAGTTGAAGCAAATAAATTTAAGGTCAGAAACATTTTAAACCATTTTACTTTATTTATGTTTTCCAGGTCATGTTTTTTACCACCTCAACATTGTTGTATGGAGATTGTTGCTTAAACGCCTTGTCTCAATTTGTATATTGCAGTGGTTGCCCCCAAACAATGTCTCCTGGTGCAAGAAATTCAAGAATTTTTGCACTCGAGAACATGCTTGCCACTTCATCGAGTACCCTTGTTTCTATGGCATCACACTTGTCTGAAGCAGAAGAGCGTGAAAGGGCTTTTAGCGGCAGAGGACGTTGGAACCAAGTTCGGTCTCTCGCTGAAGCAAAAAATCTAATGAATTATCTATTTAACTTAGCATCCTCCTCCAGGTAATATCATCTTAGATGGCAAATGCAACCCTTAAAGTACATAATATGTCTTTAGTTTTCTGTCACTGAACTCTATTCCTTGCTCTTTAAAGGTGTCAGTTATGGGATAAAGAAGTTGACTGTCGAGAGAAGGATTCAGAAATAAGAGAATTGAAGGAGAAGATTGTCAGCTTGGTTAGACAAATCGAAATGCAAAAAGGTGCACTTATTCGTCAAGAAAAGATGCTGGTTAGTGCACTTGTGTCTCATGCTTTAATTTCATTGTTTTGTAATAAATAGTATCCTTTTCTAATTTATGGTAAATAAATTCTCATTTAATTTTTTGTGACAGAAATTAAGTATGAAGAAACACTCAGCGGACAATACAACAAAATCTGGTACTTCTATCCAAAATTATGGGGAAGGGCATGTGTATGACTTGCGGCCCAAGGTATTTTTACCACTTGTGCACATACAAATGCAACCACAAAACCTTAAGAGTCGCTGCAATTTTCAGTTTTTTATTTTTATTTTATTTTTTTATTTTTTATTGATGGATTTTCGTTGATAAATATTTGGTTGTCATTTGATCATAGGGATTGCGGAGCTCCATGGTTTTCAACAACGGGAAGGATAATAGTAACATTCAGATATTGGAGGACATGGAAATATCTGAATCAGATCATTCAGATCTCGATGCAGCTGATGATGAATGGGCTCAATCTGACATCGAAGATGACACAGAGTGGGAAGCTTCCGGAAGACAGCAAGTTAAGAGAAGGAACTCTAAAAATAATAAAGGCCGTTTGGGAAACCCGTCACTTCTAACAGATATCAGTGACTCTGAAAGTCTAAAAATAGAGTCTTCCGGTGATGGAACAATCGCTGGGAACCAGAAAACTGCATCAGGAGTCTGTTGCACGTGTAGTAGAGGTTCTCTGTGCAAGACAATGAGATGCGAATGTCGAGCTGGAGGGGGTAGTTGTGGGATTTCATGCAATTGTTCATCCAACAAATGCAGCAACAGAGAAGGGTCTTCTCAAATCAAGACCGTTGATCACTTGCCGAAATCAGAACCGGCTGATGAAGGAGATAATGATGCAACAGAGAAGAGTCAAAGTCTTGCTTCTCAGGGTGCAATGCTACTTCAGAGTGCATTAACTGAAAAACCTGCCGAAACAAACGATGAAAATGTGCCGCCTGGAAGGAAGGCTTTATCTGACATCGGGAATACCTTGGTACAATTTTTTCTTGCATTTTCTTGAAAAAAGAAAAAAAGAAGATATATATTGAGCTGACTAATGATTTAAATGCCTCTGATAGGTTAAATCCAATGCGCCGAAACCTAGTCAGAGGAAGAAATGGAAGAAATCAATGATTCAGCTTGTTCCTGTAGCCCCAACTTCTCAGCTAGAGAGCAATGAAGTCCAGAAGAAACCAGAAAGCAGCACCATTGGGGTGGAAATTCCTTCACAGTTGCCTCGGGCTATGCGATCTGCAGCAGCATCAAATAGCAGCAACCTATTGAGAGAGAGGAATTCTGAACAGTTGGATGCTTCTTCTGTTGTAAATAAGGAAGGTGGCGCTCCACCTCCATTGCAGCAGCCTCAAAGAACTAGAAATGAGAAAGAGAACCGAGGTGGCCTTTGAAAAACACTCAACAATATGAAAACAAATCCAGATTTACCCTGAAATTTGGGTTGATTTACATCTAACAGAAGCAACAGTAATGTGATGTTTGAGGATTGGATCGATCCTCCATTGATAGACTTTATCTGATTGCTGTAGCAGACTGTAAAATTGATGTGATTTAGTTGAACAGCATTATTATGCTCAGCAGTACCATTCATGTAAGTTAGTTGAACAGCTACTGTATTAAGCAGTTTGTTCTATTGCTGTTTGCTATACAGCCATTGTTGTTTTTGTGTACTCAGATTCAAGTTTCTTTCATATTTACACTGTTTGGACTGATTGAGGGGTTTGATCAGAAAAGAAAAGCAAATAAAAGAAATGGTGAGAATTGAAAATCTTTCACTTGTGTGGATGGATAAATAATGTGAGAAATAGTGAGAAATTTCTTACCAAACTTGTGTTTTGTTTTTCACCAAAAATGGTGAGATTTGGTGAGACAAGGATTGTGTTTAATGAAATTTGTTTAAAATAATCAAAACTACTGTTACGAAAAGCCTAACTTATTAATATAGAAGATTATTTTAATAAAATGAATAAATTACTTTCTTTTTCTTTTTCTTACTTATTCTATTCAAATAAAATAGGTAATAAATCATATTTTCTTTTTTATTCATCCAAATATAACGGTGAAAAACATAATAAATTTCTTTTTTCCTCGCATAAGTGAGAAATTATCATTCTTTGCCAAGTGCATTCCTTAACCTTGTCGGTTGTTTTCTTTTCTTTCTCTTTTACTTTTTTCTTAATTGTTAGTGTACTTGACTGTTTTGAATACAATTTTCTTCAAAAACAGAAGCGCTTAATGTTATAATAACTAGAAGTGTCGGCACACATTATGCGTGAATCAATTAAATCGACAGTTAGTAATTAAAATAGTTAAATGGGACAAGAAATTACTCTAGGTAGTTAGTGATTCGGCTTTATTTACATCTTTTCATCTTTTCCAATTTCCTTTGTAATGAAGACATACAGAAATAATTCAGTCCACTATTTTTGTAGTGCAAATCCATGTAAAAGTGAAAGAAGTGATTATTAAATTTGTCCAATGATACTTTTTTGTTCGAACATATCGTTCTTTTTTGTTTTGAACTATGATCCGATGATACTTGACAATCCTCTTTATATGCATTCTTGCATTATGTAAGTCTATTTCCTTAGTTGTATATCTTCAAGTCATCAATCAAAGTCAAAAGTCCTTAAAATACATTAAAACAATCCTATCTAGTGTCTTTAATTTTTAATTTAATTTTTTTTTAATGAGAAACACATGTTAATTCTGAATCCACTAACGTTCACATCAATTTCTGGTGTAAAAGCATACAATGATGAAATACAATAACATCATTTAGGAGAAGCTACTTTTCAAGAATGAATGAAACCCGAAATAGCATTACTTCAAGGAAAAGAAGCACTGAGGCGAAAGAAAATCTAACAGATTCGAAAATCTGTAAGAAGAAAGGGGCAATATACAAAACAGTGTCCTCAGAAATCCAAACACGAAGTTGTTTAAGACAAAATTTGAATAATAATGTCGAAAATAATTCTTTATTTCATTGCATATACCAATGCTTCCAACCAAAAATCAAAAAGGGTCAAAACCAAAAAACAAAAACATCCGGGGAGAGAGAGAGAGAGAGAGTCACTAATTCATGAATGTCTCGAGCTCTTCCATACAACAACAATTGCATAGTAAAGATGTCAATTGTGACCGAAAAACTTTATTTTTTAAAAGGTGAAGATCGGATTCTTTTGCTATATATTTCCATTTTTTCACGAACCAAATCTTCAACTATAGCACACACTTGTCTCAAAAACCCTCCATCGCACCATTCATTACTGGTCATTCCCTCTGTTGAGGTTAAGCTTATTAATCCAGTACTGGAGTTGACTAGCAACTTGTTCTGCACCTGTGGAACCATACGAGCAGAATTTCTTGATAGCATTTTCTACTCCAAGAAACCCATATACATCCTTGTCGAACACCGGATTAATACTTCTCAACTCCTCAAGACTGAGATCCTGCAGCTGGCAGTTTTTAGATACACATAATGCAACGGACCTTCCGACTATATCATGAGAGGTTCTGAAAGGAATTCCCTGCAGAAAATACAACGAACACCTTAAACTCCTTTGTCATAAAGTCAGAAAAAGCAAACAAATAGGACGAGTTGGTGAAGGGCATAGTTGGCGGAGATCATTTAGAAGATGCTCCTGAATTTATTTCAAATGTGTGGAAACAATATACATCAAGAAACTACTTCTGAAAGTCATAGCAGCTGCACTTCTAGCTCCGTGAAGAAAAATTTTAAACCTGAATTCTCTTAATCTTTTAATCTAATTTTTAACCTAATTTCTAATTTAATTACATATTAAGCTATACATATATATACACACAGTCAGACAAGTAATTAACTAATGGCTAAAATCCATTTTATTTACATGTGGTATGAATGCAGAGCACTTCAGCCTCCTCACCTTTTGAAATATCCAAAGAAAAATGTTTCAAACCCCCTTTCCCTCCCGTCGGCCAGTTTTTCTTTTCTTTTTTTTTCTTTCTCCTCCAATCACCACCCGCCACGTGTGTGTGTTGGGGGGGGGGGGATTGGAGGGGGTCTTATCAATGTTGATATCCAAATACCATCATGTGTTCGCTTCTGTGTTTGACACGTGTCAAAAATGTTCCTGCTTTGTAAAAAAATATCCAAGTGTCTTTCAATTTCCATATCATCTGAATGATTTTATTTGCCTGATGTATATTTGAATTTATGTTCTCAAGGATTTTAGGGAAAAAAAAGCGTCCTAATCTTGTACAATTAGTTTTGCAACAAATCAAATTGAATGATGAGAAAGATTGTTGAAACTAGGGATAAAATCATTTCAATTTATAGGGTATCCGAATGTTCCATTGTTATTTGGGATAGCTTAAACTTAACAGTCATAATCAACCCATCCTGATGTATATACTTAGGGAGGGAAAGAAAAATGAGAAGGTAATGTTCTGCAAGTATAAAAATGATGAGCGAGTTAGGGGCATGACTTGCCTTTTTCACCAGATAATCTGCGAGTGTAGTGGCATCGAGATGACCAGCTGGTAAAGCCGCCTTTATTCTCTCCCGATTAAAGGTAATGTTCTGTGCGAACTCTGCTGACACTTCCAGCATTCCTATGACTGTTTTGACACTGTCAAATACAGGTTCCTTGTCTTCCTGCTTGAAGAAACTCATATAGGAATATCTTTAAAAGAAAAAAAAGACATTGTGAAAAAGGAAAGGGAAAAAAAAAAAAGCAAATCAAATATTTCAGACGTGGTGAGCAAATGTGTGGTAGCACTAAACAAGCTACTAGGGTGACATTAATCACAAAGGAAAAGTTTTTATAAAAAAATTCATGAGCAACAGGTGAAGCAAAGATATATTAAGTGTTTATAATCTGGGAAAAAAAAACTACAGCACTGTTCAGAATGAGTACTACTGGCTGTTCCACTTGTCCTTATATAAAATTATCCTACCTGTAAATCGCGATTGTAAGCGAGAGGAAGTCCCTTGCACAGAACAAGAAGAGAAACCAAGTCTCCAACAACTCTAGCAGACTTCCCACGAACAAGTTCCATTGGATCTGGGTTTTTCTTCTGAGGCATTATACTACTTCCGGTTGAAACTCTATCACTAGGAGTTAGAAATCCAAATTCCTCTGACGCCCACAATACCCATTCTTCGCCAACCCGAGAAAGATGAATAGCCGTGATGGAATTAGCCGAAAGAAACTCCAAGACAAAATCCCGATCTGAAACTGCGTCGATGCTATTCCAAATAATGATGTCACCAAATATTAGAGGTAGCCAGATAACACCTACTAGGCGGAACAACAGCAGATAAATACAACAAGCAAGTACAAATAAATTTTACATTTTGACCGTTGGGGCTCATTTATGCCTTGATGTGGACACAATTAAATGACAAAGATGACTGTAATAAAAACTCTTGTGCATAAAAGAAGTCAGCGATGAATAGTTTCCTTCGGAGATGGTGTCCATCAAAATGAATCTCTCAGATAGAAAAGGGAACGTTTCTGGTTAAGTATTTGCTTTGCAGAAAGTTCTTCACTGCCACAACTTGGGGGATGTATATAAAGGTATGTGAATATTTCAGTTAAATGTTCAATATCAATAACTTAAGAAGGAAAATAAACAAAAGAGAATTTTAAAATGATCTATCAAACTACATCGAAATACACTTCATGAGTTCATGTAGGAGGTTTTCAATGCTTCTTAGAAGTAAGTGTATTTCTTGATGATATTATGTCATGAAAAACTATAATTATCCTCAAGATTGGAAAATTTTAAAAAAATAATTAAAATGCAGAACCGCAGCAATGATTAGTTCAATGTCATCTAGGAAAAGTCTCTCTTTATTTCATCAAAGTTGACTTTTATATTAAACTTTTTCCCTATCAAATTGCAATCATGTTATTAGGGATGTAAGAAAAACCGAAAAAACTAATCAAACCGATTCCACCGGACCAAACCAGCTATAATTGGTCTATTTTTTAATAAGAATCGGTCTGTGCGGTTTTTAAATTTGAATTTTTTCGATTTTTGGTTCAGTATCAATTTAACCACCTTGTGCACCGATCTAAACCAAAATCGACCGTTTCAACATATATTGTATTTATAATATATATATCACCCTCTTCTATATATAGGAATCATGAATCATTGTAATAGATATTAATATAAATCAATCAATAATACAATTCTCTATTTCTCTTTATACATTAAATTTCTACATAATCTTATCATCTTTATAACCTAACTTTGTAAACTCTTATTATATATAATTATAACTCTAACTCATTATTCTTGAAACCTCAGTATTTTTAATTTTTTTTTTGTTTTTATTTTTGTTAATTTAGGAATTGAAAAGTATGTATTAAATGGATGGATTGGATATGTTTGAAATGGTAGACAAATAACTAATTTAATATTTGTATATAGATTAATGATTATATTTAAAAGTGGCTCAAGTTTGAAAAATCCTAAACCGATTAAGCCGCACCAAACCGAACCGTTTCAATCGGTTCGGTTCGGTACTGTACGGTTTGATGGGAGAAGCGGTTTGTATCGGTGTTCAAAATAATAAAACCGACATTATCGGTTCGGTGTAATTTTTTACCTAAATGCCAACCATAATGAACTGATTACATCCCTACATATTATCATTAAAATAGATGTTACTACATCATATAATTGACTCTTACTTTTTTGATAGTCCATTTTATGCAACATCTACGCCCTCGGGGCCACTGAGGACATCCCAAAGCCCATACATAGGTTGAAGCTGATGAGCTTAAGAATCCTAGAAGGATATGGATGACCAGTATGAAATATTACACTGAGAATCTGCACCAGGTTCCTCACAAACCATGGATGAGTCTATACATTCCATAGTGCACCAGTCAGTAAAACTTTAATTGGAAGTTAATTGGCTAAAATTGATTAAGCACATACCTGTTACTCATGGGAGCAGTGAATCCCAAATCTTTAGACGTCATAAACCTATCAATGGGAAGGCCAGTTCCTGCCAATGCACATGCACCTAGAGGGCAGAAATTTAGCCTAACTCTGCAATCCAGTAAACGACCAGCATCACGTTCGAGCTACGGAACAAACATTTTGGCCAAAAGTTAATATTACAGAGGCTAAGCAAGAAGCAAAGAGCAAAGCATCTTTAGCAACTTAAATTGAGAATGTAATCCAGTTGAATACCAGAAAAACAAAGGTTTTCCGTTTCTCTTCTTTTTTTTCTTTTTTTGGGGTGAAAACATCATCTTATCTTTTCCATTGATGTTAATAACAAGTGAACCTGCAGTAGAACATGTTGCTAAGAGAAGATTTTGAACCTGCTCAACAAATGCTAAGAGAAGATGTTGCAGTAGAACAGGCTGTGCCCTCTGTAAATGCGTATAACCTGGAACTATCAAGCCTTCATTTTTCTCAGCCAAGGTCACCAGTGCAACCTGCAGATTCCACAGCATAAGATCCTTAGTGAGTGCGGTAAAGACACACTAGGTCTTATCTTGTAATCATAATAGAACAGATGTGGCAGATCCATAATTTCTACTCCAAGGCATCACATAATTTTTCTCTATCCTTTTTTCTCTATCTTTTTCCCCAATCTGTAACAATGCTTATATATGGTAAATTCATAGTCTGTGCATATGCGAGTGCTGGAAATTTGTGTTAATGCATATAATAAGATAGTGGCATATGATAGTGGTGTTGGTGGTAGATAGTGGCATGTATAGAATATGATAGTGGTGTTGGTGATAGATAGTGGCATGTATATAATATGATAGTGGTAGATAGTGGTAATATATAATATGTAAGTGGCATATAATGGGTTATAATGATGTTTGTAATATCTCCTATATAAGGAGTGTCATTTGGTCTTGTAAAATAAGAAATTTTGAATATAACAGAAATATATTCCTTCTTCCTCATATTTTCGGAGTTCTTCTTCCTCATATTTTCTAAGTGCGAGAGACAACAAAGCAACTATGATGGGTTTTTTACAAGGTAAAACTTTCACTTGCAATATCAGTCATATTGTATCCCAGTGATTTTGTCAGAATTTCAATAACACTTATGCTGTATAGGATGATGAACCTCTTGGATGGACCTAATAGGAATCAATTGAATAATTCTTGGATTAAAGTTGTTCTCTACAAAAAGGGACCCATGTAAATTCTCCAAAATATGAAAATTAACAGCACAGAACAAGTATACAACCTGAAGGTGTTTAATGCGTGAAAGAATTGCATCAATAGCATCGCGACACCACAAGCGAAAATCAGTCAAAACTTGATCATTTCGACTCCGAGCTGTATGAAGTTTCTTTGCCGGTTCGCCAATCAAATCTGTAAGTGCAGCTTCAATGTTCATGTGCACATCCTCTCTGTCAGTCCTCCACTTAAAATTCCCTCCTTCAATTTGGCTCTCTATCTCATCTAGACCTTGTAGAATACTATCTCTATCACTGCAGCTCATTAATCCCTACAGAACACACAGAAATCAGCTAACAAGAATGCATTTTCTTTTTCTTTTTGGGTACAAATCTAACATGCATGCATTTCGCCAAAACAAAGGAATCCAATGTCTGTACTCAGGAAAGATGTAGGATATGTGAAGAAATCAAAATATCAAAAACTCAAACTTTTCTTCATATGCAAATCCAAGAAATAAGAAATGAAAAAAAGAAAAAGAAAAAAAGAAGAAGATTGAATACATTTCATCGACAGTTTACTGATGAAATGCATGAGATGAAGAGAAATAAAGCTGATCAAACCCTAAGAATTTACATTTCTGGAGCTTGTACGCATCTCCAATCCTTCGTCTTTTCTTTTATCAAATTTAAATTTTATTAAAGGTACTCAAAAATCATCTTCAATCATTTCATCAAATCAAGGATAGTCATTTTTTTGAACTCATCAAATTTGATGGAAGGATTGGAGTAATTCATATCAAATCCAACTTTATACGAATCAAATTAGATGAAAAAATTGGTGAACAATTGGAGATGGTCTAAAACTCAAAATTTTCTTGTATTCATCGCCAAATCCAATGTTCTTAATTTTCGTATCTCTTTTTCTCCCTTATTCTTCATCAACCAAAACTAACCAACCATTACACAAATCCAAAACATAACAACATTCCTCCAATCAACCAACCAAAAATTCCATTCCATTTCATTTTCCTCATCCCCTTTCTCATCAACCAAACCCTAAAACCCGAAAACAGACCTGATGAGCGAGCATGGAGGCATGAGCACGACTCCCCATGATATCGTGCTTGTACAGTTGCTTGTCAAATGAAATCGACTCCGTGAACCTCTCCACGGCGTCAGTCACACTCTCTTCGAACCGACCGCCCCATAGCTTTGTCTCCTTCTCCGGCGACTGAGGCTGATGGCTCGACCGCTCTGCGACACACGAGATCGCCGGAGGTCCTCTCATGGTGGTCTTGTCGGCGGTGAGAGAAACAGAGAGTCGATGAGGTCTAGTGAGAGAGTGAGTGTGGTGTGAAGAGAAGAGAGTAGAGTAAGAAGAATAAGAAGAAGAAGGAAGTGAGAGTGACTCCATTCACGCAACGGCGAAGAGTAGTGTGGTTAGGTAGTACGCAGCTTTTTTCGTCAGAGTGTTTGTTTAGGTTTTTTTTGTTTTGTTTTGAGATTTGGTTATAAACCTGTTACTTTTAATTTATATTTTAATTGGACAATTTTCAAAATCTCATAATATTTTAAAATTTATTTATTTTATTATATTACTTTCATATTTATCCGTTCTTCTATTAAGGGGTTGTTTGGGGTGTCCTAAATAAGAACACTTTTTGTCTTTTTGAACTAAAAAATTGAGATTGAAAATATAGATGTTTGGGTTAACTTTTTGACTTTTTATGGAAAAATGTGTAATAAAAAATTGTAAAAATTGATTTGTAGGAAATTTTACTTTGAATCATAGTAAACTTTAGGGGTTTGGAATGTTCTAAATAAGTGCACTTTTTGACTTTTTATGAAATATGGCTTGGGTTTGAAGTGATGTGGTAGAGATGTGATGTGACTTAAATAAGATGATGTGATTTAAATAGGATAGTAACTTTTTGAATTTTTTACGAGATGCCAAACTTAGTCTTACTTTGATTCAGAGTAAAATTTTAATCTGAATCAGAATAAAGTTTACTATGATTCAAAATAAAATTTTATATTGTTGAGCAAATTAGCATGTTTTTAACCAGAGTAAAATTTTACTCTGATTCAAAGTAAAACTTTACTCTAAAAGTACAATTTTACTTTGAATCTTTACTCTGATTTAGAGTAAAATTGTATTCTCTAAATCATAGTAAATTTTACTCTGATTCAGAGTAAAATTTTATATCGTTAAGCAAATCAACATGGTTTTAACCAGAGTAAAATTTTACTATGATATAAGGAGAGTATCCACTTTGAATCACACTAAGTGTCATGTATTAATAACCTTGCGTGTTTGGTTGCTCAGAAAATCACAGAAACATAATAAGAAAACCAAATATAGTTTGGTTGTTGAGAAAATCAACATGTTTTTAATCTCAGTAAAATTTTACTGTTCCAAATCTATCTCATACATACATACAATCACAAATATAAATACATACTCTCACAGATATACATACATACATACACTCACAGATATACATACATACGCTCACACACTCACAGATATACATACATACACTCACTCACTCACTCAAAAATATACATACATATACTCATAAATATACATACATACACTCACCTACCGATATATATACATATACACATGTATGTATGAGTCATATATACATACATACGTGCACATACATATAGATAAATACTTGCATACACATATACATAAGAAGAGCAAATTAGTGAAGACGTGGCGGAGCTTGGCGTGCTCCGCTGGAAGGAACGGCGGAAGAGGATTGGACGCCGACGGCGTTGGCGAGGTCGACATAGGAGTTCCAGAGGCGGTAGCTGAGCTTCCAGATCTGAAGCTTGAAGGAGTTAGAGAAGGTAGAGAGGGAGAAGAGAGACAGAGAAGGTGGGGTGAGAGTGGGTGGAGAAGGTGGGAAGATTTAGTTGAGGGTATAATAGTCTAATAAAATATTTAAATAATAAATTTTATCCTTTATGCAAGATTTTATAATTATGAGGGGATTTAGAAAGTATAATTTTTTTCTTAGTCCTTTTAACAATGAAAAGAATGTAAAGGGGGTTTACAACCAATTTTTTTTTTTCTTTTTTTCTTTTTTTCGCTTTGAGCCCAAACAGTTCGAGCCAGCTAGACAGGCATATGTGTCAGCCCAATGTTGATTAATGGTATTGGGTGTGTTTGGTTGTAGGGTGTGCACAGAGCATTTGGATTTTCTCCAGCACTGTCCAGCACTTCAAAGAAGAAGGTGACACATGGCTGGAAGAACATCTCACGGACAGAAACACGCCCATGTTGCAGAAATTAAGAAACTTAATGGACCATCGTTTTGTCGAAAAGGACACCGTTTTGAAGTAACAAGCATAGTAACTTTAAGTTAATCATGTGATTTATAATAATTATGTAATTAGTATATCATGGTATTGGGTGTGTTTGGTTGTAGGGTGTGCACAGAGGATTTGGATTTTCTCCAGCACTGTCCAGCACTTCAAAGAAGAAGGTGACACATGGCTGGAAGAACATCTCACGGACAGAAACACGCCCATGTTGCAGAAATTAAGAAACTTAGGTCATGTTTGTTTGGGCGGACTGGATTAGCATTCCCATGACTAATAGTCCTAGGACTACGAATCCGTTGGATTATGTATCCTGTCTTAGCTAATACTCAAGTTTAAAATAATTAGTCCGTACTTCAATTGTTTAACCAAATATCGGATTAATAATTTTATTGGACTATTAGTCCAATCCCAAACTCATGTCCACCCAAACAAACATGACCTTAATGGACCATCGTTTTGTCGAAAAGGACACCGTTTTGAAGTAACAAGCATAGTAACTTTAAGTTAATCATGTGATTTATAATAATTATGTAATTAGTATATCACCGTGCTATGCACGGATTGTGTTTATAATTATCTATATATGTAAATTCTAATTTTTAAATGTCTCTCTCTCTTTTTTTTTTTAATGTCTTCTTTTTTCTTTTTTTATATAATAATAAAGTTTAATATTTTGATAATAATCATATGTGTTGGATTTTTCAAGGAATTAAATGTCTTTTTTATTTTTATTTTATATATATATTATGTTAAAGTTTAATATTTTGATAATAATCGTATGTGTTGGAGGATTTTTTTTTATGCTTGTTCTTAATGCATTAAAATGTTATTATGAGGGATAATAATCATATGTGTTAGACTTTTGTCACGACCCAAATCCGCCTCTATAGGTTTAGCATCGTAATCGGCCAGTAATCCTGGGATTACCGAAGGCCTTTGAGACAAATTGACATAATATTAGGGACTAGCGGAAGCAAATAACAAATATACAACGTTCATTGAACTGTGCAGATTTATATGAGACAAAAATTTTTTAAACTTTTTATGTACATATATACATATCATCCTTACGTCATTATATAAATACAGATTAAACAAAAAGAGACTTAGCCCTATTTACAAAATACACAAGACTTGTTTAACCAAATAAGAAAACAAAACTTAGACTTTAAATCACATAGCCGTAGCCACTTGACATATCCGGAACCTCCACGAGAGGCACATAGGTTGGCTGACAAAAACAGATTCCAGGCAGATGCCTTTAAGCCTGGTCACACGCCTGATCACCTACATACATAAATAATACAGTGAGCTAGAGCCCAGTGAATAATAACAGAATAAAAGGTTTTAATGAATGATGTTCATACCAGATTCAGAAATCATAATTCAGATTCATATTCATATTCTTGTTCAAATCAAATACAGAAATAAGAGTTTATGCGTAATCATACGTGGTACATCCATTAGGGCTAACAGAACAGATACAGAACAGATGCAGAACATATGGTGGTTATGAATAACCAATTCCATAAAGGAACCTCCGGATCCGGGTAACAGAGAATAAACATGCTGAGCTCCATGATGAAGCCTCCGGAACGGGTAACAGATGACAGACATAATAAGTCCCATAATAGGACATCCGATATCGGGTAACAGCTAACAGATATCACATGATGCTAAGGATGCCACAGATACATGTCAGAAATTGAACAATCATTCATTGTACAGAGCATAATATTTCAGAAAACAAATCTTATTTCATCATATAGAAAATAAATAAAGTTGAACATAACTTTACTATGTTATTACTCACAGTGTTTTGGTGCTTGATTCGTCCCTGCGCTTGACCCTACATAATTCATACACATTGGGTAATATTATAATTCATTATGTTCTTTAACTTGTTTAACATTCTTAGGCTCCTTTTATGTTCTTTAATTCATTTACAATGTTTAATGCATGCCTAAGAGTGCTTTGAAATGAAAGAGAATGGAAAATGAATCATAAAACATCTTTTTAAAATTTCTGAAACAGGGCCCTCCGCTCGAGCGGACCCCTTTGGTTTGCAAAAGTACTGATTGCTTGTATTCTACGCTCGAGCGGCAACTTCTCCGCTCAAGCGACGAATCGATTTATGGGTTTTCTAAAATGTTGATTGTGCTTCAAAACATAACTTTAAATGATACAACTTGCATGTTTTAACCTTTATATCAACCATACAACTTCTAATCATGATATAATGCCAATTCTACAAGATTCGAAGTTCATATCTCTAAGGATTCACCATACAACCCCAAATTACTTCAAATTCATTTCCTTAAACTTCATAACTCACAAATTCTAAAACTTGAATTGAGCTTTTAAAATAATTTCAAGACTTGGGTTCATGCGTGGCTTGTCTAAAAATATACAAACTCTTAAATAATTAAGAAAATAAGAACCATTTTAAATCATTTACATCAAAACTCCTTTAATTTAAAAACTAAACTCATTTGTTCATAAATTCATAATTTTCCAAAGCTTAGTTCTTCTTTCTTCAAAACATGAAATCAATTCCAATAACTCACAAATTCTAAAACTTGAATTGAGCTTTTAAAATAATTTCAAGACTTGGGTTCATGCGTGGCTTGTCTAAAAATATACAAACTCTTAAATAATTAAGAAAATAAGAACCATTTTAAATCATTTACATCAAAACTCCTTTAATTTAAAAACTGAACTCATTTGTTCATAAATTCATAATTTTCCAAAGCTTAGTTCTTATTTCTTCAAAATATGAAATCAATTCCAAGAAATCTATTACATCTCATATATATCAAGGTTTCCAAACCCAAGCTCAATTGAAGAATTATAATTATTTCTATATTGATTAACCTTAACCATGTTCATGAATTAATTCCTTAATTTCTCCAAATTACATGCTTATAAAAATAAGGCTCAAATTCCTATAAGATATTCAAAATCAAACCAAAAATAATTAATTTCTAAGTTAATTTTCACAATCATGAACCTAACTCATTTTCTTGCTAATTTATTTTTTTGTTTACATAAAATTGACTTCAAACTCTTTTCTATCTCCCTTCAAGACATGGAATTAAAGTTATAAACTTCTTAAATAACCATTTGCATGTATGGAACTAAGATCAAAACTAAATAATTTTAGTTAAAATAGTTCTAATTTGGATTATTTTTTATCTTCTTCATATTAGACCCAAATTCAAAGCCATAAACCTTTTAAACATAAATTAAAATCTCAAAACCTTGAAATTCCATGATGCATGTAAGGTTGAGTTTCAAATTTAAGAAGAATGATAAAATCAAACTCAAACTAACTATTTCCCAAACTTATTTCCTTAATCTCAAGCTTAACTCAATTTTTAACCTCAATTTAATTCATAATCATAGATGTTCCAAAATATGCTTAATTTGAGTCAAACTCTTAAATTACATTACATGAATGGGTTAATAATCAAATTCAAAACCCATATCTATTCTTTAATTCATCCAAATTACATACATGTAGAAATAAGGCCCAAATTCATGCAAGATATTCAACATCAAACAAAAAATAATCAATTTCCATGTTTATTTCCATAACTATGAATCCTAGCTTTGTTTTCTTGTTCAAACCCATTTCTTTACAAATTCCATGGAATTGATCTTAAACTCTTCTTAATTTCAAGTGTAATGTAAAGATTCTACAAAAATAAAGTTTAATTTCATACCTTAAACTTTAATCTCAAGAAGTTTAGTTGATTCCCTTCTAATTCCCTTGTTCCTCCAAACTTCTCTTCCCTTAGTTTTCCTTCTTCTTAAGTTGAAATTGCTTCCTTCTTTCTCTCGGTTCATTCGTTCTCTCTCTCTCTCTCATGGGTTTGCCCAAACAAATATGAAGCCATACTCTTTTTTTTTTTTCTCAATCTCTTTCCATCACAATAATGCTTCCAGCAAGAAAATAAAATAGAGTTGCCTACTCTATCTCTCCTTATGTATACGCACTCCTCTCTTCACAATGCACATATGCACACTTATTGAAGCCTCCAGCACAACACTCACACACACAGAATTTCTCTGCAAACCTAGATTTCTCAACACACACACACACCCACATATATCCTCAAACTCTAAATCATTCTACAATTTAATTTACGGTTAAGATTAATTTAATTAAATAACACTTATTCTTAATAAGTCTTTATTAACATATAATTAAATTAACCATAACTAATCACAAATCTCTCATAATTTAATTAATCTAATTGACTTCCATTAGAGCCTAATTAAATATATTTAAATTTATCAATCCGAATCAGATTTTTAATCAAACTCCCAAAAGGCTCCAAATATTAAATTAAACTTATTTTCATTCTCAATTTTGGTTTTTTAAATCATTTAAGCCTTCAATTTCTAATCAGACTCAAAATTTCGTCAATAAATTACGTATTCAAATTAGGCACCACATAAATGAATTTAATTCGTAATTATCTTAATTCCCAATCCTCTTAACTTAATTAACTCCAATTCGGACCCAATTAATCAAATCCCAATTTTACAAATCTAAAATGAATATTTAATTAAACTCCCACGTGGTCCAATACTCCAAAATAAAATAATTCAATTCACCATTTGTACTCTCTTGAGCCATTTAGGTTTTCAATTTCTAATTTCAAAATAAATCCTCAATAGAACCATATACGAATCAGTCTCCATAATTTTCATAAATCCTGGATTAAATCAAAGTAATGGGCAATTAAATTTAAATCTCTTTGATTAATTAAATGCTAATTATTATACGTGATGGGTTCATTACAACTTTTCAAGAAATTTTTCTTATGCTTGTTCTTAATGCATTAAAGTGTTATTATAAGGGTAAGACTTAGGGGTTGGGAGAAGTTAATAAATGCTAAGGTTTTTTTTTTTAAATAAAAAAATCAAGAAATTTAGATTGGGATATTAGAGTTTCCACAAGGCTTGGGGGTTAGAAACCCCTTTTTCCTTAATATATATGTATATATATATAGATATAGATAGATATTATGTATTAATTATGTGTTAGTTGAATTGTGTTATTGTGAACAAATATGTATATATACAAAATGAACTTATCTGAATCAGTAATTTAAACAAGTTAGAATTAAATATTTGGAATAAGCAATTAGAACCTACTTCATATTAGTGTGATTAAATTTAGTTTAATTTAAATTAGATTATGATGTGTAAGATGAGAAATGAATTAATTTAGTTAATTTAACTTATTAGCTAAACTTATAAGTAACTAAGGCTTAAGACAAAAATTAGTAAATGAAATAATTCCTAACTCTATCCAGTTAGTTAAGAATGATGAGCAATGTTTGAGAGAGTGTAAGTGAGTTTTGTTGGGAGATATTTTAAGAAAGAGAGAGAGAGAGAACTTAAGAAAAGAAGAGAGGAAGAAGAAGAACAAGAGAGAGTTGAAGGGAAATCAAGCAAAATTTCACCAAATTAACTATCTAAGGTAAGAATCCTCCTCTAATTTCATGACTCTAAGTTGTATTACTCAGAAAACCATTGAATCTAAGTTGGATTGAGGAGTTTTGTTGTTGTAATTGAAGGGTTAGGTTTTGCATGGCTTGATATGAAAGATTTGAATAATAACTCATAATTTTGACATATATGGCATCATTCATGTTCAAACACATCTTTCTTGCATGATTTTTGAGAAGTGAGGAGGAAACTTCATGAATTTTGGAAGATGGGAACCCAACATATGCAAGGTTTGCTTTTGAATTCAAGGTTTTGATTTTGTAGATAGAAAATTGAGTTTTGTTTTGAAGTTATGATTTTTGTTGAAGTTAGGGATGTGAATTTCAAGATGTCTTTAAGGGTTTTGAGCCTTGATTTGCATAAAATTGAAGTTGGATTTTGAAAATAATGAGTTTCCATTCGAAAGTAGATTTTTGGATAGATTTTGACCCAGAACCGCACGTGCGGCAGGAAGCCCTACACGTGCGGAACACAAAGCTCAGCAAGCTAAACATTTTGAAAAAATTGCACGTACGGCCGCACGTGCAGTGGAAGTTCCGCACGTGCGGCTAGGGCCTTCACATGTGCGGTTTTTAAAGCAAATTTTTGGTTTTGTTTTCTTTACATTTTTTTGACTTTCGGGCCTCCGTTTGCATAGTTTTCACGTATATTTCAAAGTCATAAGCATGTCATGATCACGAAGGAAAACAAAGAATGAATAGGCTTAAAATCAACGGAACGATTGGAAAGTAATTGTGACGGTGTTGTGTAGGTCACTTGTACGCGGAGTATCATTCGACCAAGCATGGCGAGTGATGTCTTTGTAAAGATATTTTTGTATATGAATTACGTTGAAAATGACTATGTTATTCAATCCTATGTTTTGATATGAAATGGTTGATACAATAAGTTTTTGAAAAAGAACTTTGGAACCGTTAAGATATGCTTTGAAACTCTGAATTGTGTACGATACGATACGTTTTAAAAAATGAGATTTTGATAAGAATGAATAAGATCCTCTTTGTGCTTATCGAATGTGACACCCATGAACACATGCTTGAATGTTCGAAAATTCATTGTCGTTATGTATATGCCAATCCGTTGTGATCGATATATCTATGTCCTCAGTTTATTGTGATCATTTTGGTAATATTCTGTTTAGTACTATTGATTATATCACAAAATATAAGTAACTCTGAATGATTTGATGAACCTTATGAATTATATATATATAGATCTGATAAATGCTTCATTTCGTCGTGGACATTCTGTATGATCTTTTGCCTAAGGTGTAATAATGCTTTTGAAAATGTTCTGTACTATGAGTCAAACTATGAAAGGTTCTTCGAAGGTTTGAGGAACTATATTTATTATTACGAGTATCTGGACAATGCTTTGATCATATTAAGAATGCTGTTTGGATTTTATAAGTTATGAATCTCATTCATTTAATCTCTTTATATTGAGATTATTTATTGGACTCTAGTTCACAGTTTATATATGTATGTAAGTGATCAAGCACAGGAGAGGACTTAGTGGCATCAACCTGAACCCTATTTTGTTAAGCCAGCTTCCATACCTCACTGCGAGGTTCCAAACTGTCAAGCGTTCAGGCTTTTGGGTGGTTTTGAATTCACCTTTTTACAATTGTGATCTAATGTTATGAAGTCTTGGTTTAAAATCTTTTATTTTTGTTTAATTTTGTCATTGGGCTCAATTCTTGAGGTTGTGTAAATGTTTGTTCATATGTTTGAGATGGATCATATGTCACGACCCAAACCCGCCCCTATAGATTTAGCGTCGTAACCGGCCAGTAACAAAATATTATGGGCTACCGAAAGCAGATAACAAATATACAACGTCCATTGAGCTGTGCAGACATATATGGGACATAAAGATTTTAAACTTTATATATATATATATATATTATCACATCATTCTTACGTCATCATATATATATATATTATCACATCATTCTTACGTCATCATATATATATATATATATATATACAGATGAGACAAAATGGGACTTAGCCCTATTTATGAAATAAACAAAGACCTGTTTAACCAAACAAGAAAACAAAATTTAAACTTTAACCATATAGCCATAACCACTTGACATATCCGGAATCTTCAAGGGAGGCACATAGGTTGGCTGACAAAAACAGATTCTCGGCAGACGCCTTTAATCCTGGTCACGTGCTTGATCACCTACATATATAAATAATACAGTGAATTGGAGCTCAGTGAATAATAACAAAGTAAGGGGATTAAATGAATGATATCCTATATCAAATTCGGAAAACAAATTCATTTTTATTTCAGAAACAGAAACAAAAGCAAATCTATATTCATATTCTTGTGCAAATCATATATAGAAATCAGAGTTCATACTTAATCATACATGGTACATCCATTAGTGCTAACAGAACATATACATAACAGATGGTGGTTATGAGTAACTAGTTTAATAAAGGAACCTCCAGAGCCAGGTAACAGATAACAGATATGCTGAGCTCTATGATGGAACCTTCGGTATGGGTAACAAATAATAGATATACTAAGTTCCATGATGGAACCTTCGATACAGGGTAACAGCTAACAAATATGCTAAGGATGCCACGAATACTTGTCAGAAATTGGACAATTATTCATTGTATAGAAAATATCATTTCAGAAAACAGATTTTATTTCATTCCACAGAAAATAAATAAAGTTGAACATAGCTTTGCTAAGTTATTACTCACAGGTAGCTCCAGAAGTAGAACAGACGGATCAGACAGACGATAGCGCGTGACCTAAACAAACATATAACATATGCACATTAAAAGACAATATCACTTCTTGATCAAACTTGACTTCTCTTGTCTTTTTCTGTCTAAGTAATCCAAGGTTCTACCACGTGTATTCTCTCTTTATTCAAATGAATAGGGTTCTCATTTTACATATTCTTTTATTACTAAGTCTTTTTTCAATAGACCGATTTCTTACTTTGCATCTTAATCAATTATTATTAAATCAATGACTTATTCCTTAACCAAGTTATGTTGATTGTTGGCTTATTAATCTTTATTGGGTAATAAATCATGTCTAGAATACTTTGGGAGGAGATGAGATGAAAATATAAACAAAGTGTGATTTTTCAAAATATGCTGAAAATAGCCTGGCCGCTCCAGCCACCACTTGGTCGCTCGAGCGGACTGTACTGTCTATAAAAATACTAGAAGCTCATAATGTTCGCTCGAGCCATCAATTGGTCGCTCGAGTGGTCTGTAAATTTTTTGAGTTCCAAAATTAAAGATTTAGCTTCCAAATTTCATTTCAAATTTAGATTCATGCATGACTCAATTTAAACATGTAATGTCATTAATAAAAATGATCATATGACTAATTTCCAAATTTCAATACAATGACCTTCTTAATTTGTCCAAATTTGAACGTAATTCCAAAACTTAGGTTTAAACATGGCTTGGCTAGAAATATACAAACTCTTAAATAATTAAGAAAATTTAATCAATTTAAACCATTGAC